TTTATGTTAAATATATATATATATACATATATATATATATATATATATATATATATATATATATATATATATATATATATATATATGGACATGGACTATAATTATTTTCGGAAACAAATTAAAACCTAACTCATAATTACAAATTAAAGTTTCGGATAAAATTTGCATAGATATAGTATTTGAAATATATAGAAGAATCTAGAAGTGGGGATCTCATTTTTGAAATTTGGACAACTAATTTCAACACTTACCTTATATAAACAATTAGGGTTTTTATTCTTTTTGCTTTTTTTTTGAAATAGGGTTTTCTCTAAAACAATTAAGACACAATTAAGACAGATAAAATGACCGTTAGAGAGTGCTCTTACTATAGCTTTATATAAACCTCAACAAATCTTTCGATATTCTCCATAAAAAATTAAACCACACATAAACAAAAAAAATAGAAAAAAAAATGTCTGATGGTTCATACAACCGGTGTCCACCCCATCTCCAACCCTTCTCTGCCGCCCCTTTTGATCCCTCAAACACCGTCCAGCCACCACCACCACCACCTCCTTCTGCCGCTGGGGACGTTCCTCAAACACCGGATGAGCGTCAAGAATTCATGAGGCGGCGTCTACACGCCCATATGGTGCCGGTGGTTCTTATCCCCACCTTTCGTCCTGATTTTGTTCCAAACTACCCCAGATTTGATCCTTTATCACACCGGCCTGAAGATGAGGATTACCAGGACAGTTTCTTTTTCGATGAAAATGACGAGAACCTACTTCGATTTTTGGAGGAAGAAGAAGGTGGTGGTGGTGGTGATGGTACCATGACTTTCGACAACAACTTATTCGATTATGGTGGGGGTAGTAGTAGTAGTAGTAGTAATAATAATAATAATAATAATAATAATAATAATAATAATAATAATAATAATAATAATAATAATAATAATAATAATAATAATAATAATAATAATAATAATAATAACAGTGCTGAGCGGTCGGAGGCAAGGATTGTCGCTCAGCTGTCGGGGGGAAGGATTGTCGCTGAGCTGTTGAAGGAAAGTATTGTCAAGAATCTGAGAACGAGTGCTTCTTCCATGGAAATCAATGCCGTAGATTATGAGCAAGAAGTGTGCGTTATATGCCTCGACGGTTTGTTTGGAGAAATCGAGAAAGTTAACGTAACCCTCGGATGTGGCCATGTTTTTCATGTCGAGTGCATCACCAATTGGCTTTTCAGGAAAAACGAGTGCCCCATCTGCAAATCCAAGGCCCTCGTTTTCGATTCAAGAAATTAAACATGCTTATTTATTTATTGTTATTTTCTTGATTTTTTTTGCTTTTGTTGTGTGCGGATTTGTATGGATTTATTGTATGGAATTTCAGACAAAGCAAGATTTATTGTTGTTGTTGGTTTCGTTTAATTTGTCTTTGATGTTGATTAATGAATTTCGTGACTAGTATTTATTGTGAACTGTTTAACTCATGTATACGATGATTTTTATGTCAATTAGTGCATAATTTGAAGCATTTTATCAGACTTAAAAATCCAGATTGAAGATATCAATTATTTTATTATCTTAGTGTTTAAGCTGGTGAAAAATCAAATATATATGTACCTTAGGAAATCGGTTGAAATGGGCCCGTAAGGAACTTCAATAGAAACATCGAGACGGTCGATCGAAGAAGAGAGCAGTTGGTGGAGTTTATTTGACCATCTTTCCTTCTCCTTTGATAATGACACGACTTAGGTTATCAGACTCAAGATTCAAGATTGTTGCTTGAACTAATTGTGAATGGATGCCATTTCGAATTTGTGCAAAAGAAGTTCATTCATTTACAGAGTTATTACAGCTAGCTTTATATAAACACCGTTAGGTATTTGCACGAACCTCAAGAAACCCTTCGATACTCGCAATAGAAAAGAGAAGTCCACTAAAAAAATAAAAAACAAAAAGCAGCCGCCAATTTCGTCATCTCCGCCGCCGCACGCAGACCATTTCAGCCGCCGCCCCTTCTGCCTCAAATACCTTCCGCCCTCCCCATCCACCACCTCCCGCAGCCGCCCCATATGTGCGCGGCGATGAAACCATGCAGCCCCGTTCAGCGCCGCCGCCGCCGGTGAACTTTACCTCCATCGTCAGTCGTCCTCCTAATCGTATTAATCCGAATAACCGCATGTCTAATGCAGGAGCATCATTGCTCCGGTATCAAGATCAGTACTTATACGATGACAGGTACTTTTTCAACGAAGAAGAGGTGGCCCTAATATTAGAGTTATCGGACGACGACGACGATGTAGTAGTTCTCGACGACAGCAACAACTTCACCGGTGGTGGTGGTGGTAATACTAATAGTAATATTAATATTAATAATAACGGTGGGCTGTCGGAGCGAACTATTTCCCAGAATCTGAGGACAAGGTCTTCTTTGGAAGTTAATGTAGATAATTATGAGCAAGAAGTTTGTGTTATATGCCAGGATGATTTGTTCGGAGAACACGAGAATATTATCGCCACCCTTGATTGCGGCCATGTTTATCATGTGGAGTGCATCAAGAAATGGCTTCGGTCGAAGAACGAGTGCCCGATTTGCAAAGCCAGGGCGCTGAATTTCAATTGAAGAAACATGGGTGTTTTTGTTTTTGTTTTTGATTTTTTTTTGGATTTTAGAGTCGTTTAATTTTTAATTGTAGTTTCTATTTTCTTGAGTTTTTTGTGTTGTCAGGTTTTGTATGAATTTGTTGTCTGAAAGTTCATTTAGAAAAGATTTATATTGTTGTTGGGATTGAATTAATGTCGTGTCTAATTATTATGAATTGTTCATGTATTCATTTGGGCATGTGTATGCGTATTTTTCCATGACTTTATTATGCACGGTTGATGGTATTAATTGTAGGTATAAATACTACTTAATTAGGTAATTATGTTCATGTTTACATCAATTATATTCTTAAAACTTCAAACTTTATTATGTGATATGCAAGGGTGGACTCGAGCGTCGGAGGGTTTTGTCGGGACCAAGCTACGGCATCCTAATGCTTGTTTGTGGCGAATAACGAACTAAAATAACAATCCCCGAGTGCATTTGAAGAGTATCACAATTATTTTTGGAAAAGATTTGACGTAATATCCGTAATTCAAAATTATTTCAACAGAAGAAAAAAAAATGAATTTCAGATACAAATATAGGTATTGATATGGACATACACCTCGATCTGACCTGACCCCTGGTTGCGCGGCGATGGCAGTTTTTAGATTATCATTAGACGGTCCATTTATCCGAGCTTTAATTTCCGGATAAAGTCTCCAATCTTGTGCACCCATTGGTTAAAACTTGGAATATCGAGCTGATATGCGAGACATTTTGGTCTATTGATCGTGATAGAATTTTGGAGATCCGTATCGGTAGTGCACATGTGAAGGATGGGTATGGCATTATTACAAGAATGTGCATGTTTTCTGTTCGTTCTTGCTACCATGTAATTGTGAATGGGTTTCGAGTGGTGATCGATAGTCGGGCTATGGTTGGGTCGACAAGTGGTCATAATACTCATAATTGGCATCTTATTTGGAATGTTAAAGTCCCATCGAAAATAAAGGTCTTTCTCAAGCTGGTACTTCATGTATGGGCATACTTTCCGACAAGAACGGAGCTCAATTATCATTGAAGGAGATTGTTTAGTGACAGTGTTCTACATATCCATATCGATCGTGGCGGTCTGTGACGGTTTGTGGCGGATTGAGGCAGGTCAAACCGATATGTCGGGTTAAACTTTGAGCGATACATCGGAAAAAAGTATTGGTTACTATTTTAATTTTTTGGATTAAAAAAAACTAGGGTTTTTCTTTTTTGTTTTTTCCAACAAAATTTCTTTCAACAAAGTCGCCACCCCCGTACGAAAAGAAGAACCTGGCCAAAACTTGTGAAGCCAATTTTTATAAATGTTTTGAGTATTTGCAGAAATATATTACACTAATTCTAAAACCTATTTATTTCCGATTTATCTCCAATTTATCACCGTTGCGCCAATTTATCGTGTGGCTTAACTAGGAGGTTTTCCAGTGGTCGTGGTGTGGCTATGTGGAAGGTGTGGGAAGCATGGAATAAAGTGGTGCACGGAGAGGAATGGATGAGTCCGGAACTGATTGTTAATTGGAGTCGAGGTTGTATTCACGCATTTAAACATGCATTAATTATGTCGGCGTCTGGAATGAAGATTTAACACCAAAAGCAATGGGAGGCGCGTGATGCTGGCTTTCCATTGGGGAAGGATTTTTACACAATCGCGGGTGTGGCTCGGGATAGCGTATACGTGTTTGCATATTCGCAGCTTGGAAGGTCGTCCTCGGGTGGATGATGGTGAAGCTTTTAATTTGATGCCCTTCATGCACTAAAAATGGCTCATTCACAAGGTTGGATCGGAGCTCAATTGTTATTGAGGGAGAGATTGTTTAGAGGCAGTGTTTTAAATATCGATTATGGCGGTCTGTAGTGGTTTGTGGCGGATTAGGCGGGTCAAACCAATATAGGGTCAAAATTTGAGCGCTAAATCTGAAAATAATATTGGTTTCTATTTTTATTTTATTTTTGGATTAGAAAAAACTAGGGTTTTTCTTTTTTTATTTTTTCGAACCCAATTTCTCTCAATCAAGTCACCACCCTGTAAGAAAAGAAGAATCTGGCCAAAACTTACGAACCCAATTTTTATAAATATTTTGAATATATAGAAATAATATTTAGAAATATATTACACTAAACCTAAAAATGACTTATTTCCAATTTATCATTGTCGCGCCAATTTATCGTGTGGCGGTTTGAAACCGCCTCGGACACGATAAGCGTTTTTTAGAACCTTGTTTATTAGAGGTGATCAACGCATCTAAAGATGGAATCCCGTCGTTCATTTCACTTGGTTCATTTGTTGAAGACGGTTTAATTACTGCTAGTTTATTTTGTCGTTGTATATTAAATTTCGTTAAACGATCGGTGCTCTTTTGTTTGTAGTGAGGGTTTTTCCGTGCCTTTGAACTTGGCCATGGTTGCCTAATAATATCTGATTGTTTGTTGTTAAGGATAAAAATAAAAGATGTAACTTGTATAATTGGGGAAATTACAGATACTGGCCGAATAACAAACAAACCCTCTCTTGCCAATAATTAGTTAATTACATAAAAATTTTGCATTATCTTCTCCCAACAAATCTCTTCTCAATAAAAGGAAACAAAAGAATAATCCATAACTAGCTACAACCGAGCTCATAGATTACGATCGAGTCTCATTAATTCGGTATCCAAAATGAGTCGTCGAACCCTAAAATACTAATCAAATAATATATCTAATTATAAACGACCAAAACCCCAAATAAAAGTTCGGAAAATTAATTTACCTTTGCGGAAAATTAATTTACTTTTGGAAAAATTATACCGTGAATTTTCTAAATCACTTTTATCAGCTTCCATTGTATCCGCAAGGAAACCCTAGTGTGCCACTGAGGGAATCAACCGTCGTCAACAATGGAACCCTAGTGCCACCCCTGACAAAAGGATTCTAGGGAGTGAAAATCGCCTCAACTTCCGCCACTGTGGAGGACATCGCATAGGGGAGAGAGAGAGAGAGAGAGAGAGAGAGAGAGAGAGAGAGAGAGAGAGAGAGAGAGAGAGAGAGAGAGAGAGAGAGAGAGAGAGAGAGACCCTAGCAATGTTTTGTAACCCTACAATTTTGTATCATCAGCCACACTGTAGCCTCTCTTGTTTCTTTATTTCATTTGAGAACACTATAGCTGATTTGCAGTAGATGATTTGGTACTTTTGGTTTTTATTTTGTTAGGTTTATAGTATATTCTTACAATTGAATGCATGAGATATTAATTGCAATTTAAAAAAATGGGTTATTTCCGAAGTAGGACATAAAAAATTATAATTTAATGCAATTTTCAAAAATTTTGAATTTTTTTTGAGGCATATCGAAATTGGAATGAATTTTTGAATTCCGGCTTTTTTGAAATGGAAATTCGAACCCATTTTTAACTAACGAAAATAATTGAAGAGTTTCCGAAAAAGTCATTTTCGGTCCGTTCCAACCAATTGTCACCCCTAGTTATTTTTTTTACTTCTTCTAAAATAATTTGTTTTAAGCTATATATTAAATATTTAAAAGAACATTCCCATCAATTTTGTAGTCTAAATATACTTTTATAAATATTAAAAGTTCTATTGAGCATTTTTTTTGAAATATTGGTTTGGTCCAGTTCTATTTTATTATGACATTTAAAATACTTCAGGAATAACAAAATTAATATTTGTTTGCAAACTCGGGAACTTCCAAATTGGTCGTTTAGAGTCGATTGATATTTTCAAAAACTCCCGAGCAATTATATAAAATGACTCACAAATGATCACAATCATCAACTTGTACCTGAAAAAAAAAACACCAAAATTAAAACATTACAGTGATTTTTGACAAATTGTAATACTAAATTTATAATTTTGCTATTTATACGTCTTACTAACAAAAGAAAGGCGTGCATCGCAGGGTCAAGTTACTAGTTTTTTTTTTTTTAAGTTAAGAGTATCAATATAGGGGCATGCTAAATCTCACACTAAATTTTACTAAATCACACACATAAAATCTAACTTTTTTCGATGATAATTTTTTTCAAGTCACTCAAAATTCGTTAATCTTTCACGTGAATAATCATAAAAAGTGAGTTTAGGTTTATTTAATATTTTTCAATTTCATTATGCCTTTTTAATTATTTATATTCGTATTAATTCGAATTTTTTTCTCAAATTCCAACTATATTTTAGTTTGAACACATGAAGGTTTTTCTGAAATTCTAACTTGGAATGATATGGATGTTTTTTTAGTGTGTGATTTTATGAAAAAAGTTAGGGAAAAAGAAGAAGGGTGGGGAAGGAGAAGATGAGATTTTAGAGAGAGACAAATTTTCAATTGTGTGTATGATTTGGTAAAATTGGTGTAGGATTTAGCATATCAGATCAATATAATAATAATTTATTTTCATGTGGATTTTTAAAAATTTAAATTCACATAACTACATAAAATAAATTTCACCGGGTTTAGATTATTGGAATCTAGAACTAACGATTTTTAAGACGTATATTGTGTTGTTCAAAAATTAGATTTCGCTAGTTACCTTTATAATCTTAAAAGCATCAACAACATGCAAGAACAAGTTGCCGCTTTATTTTGGCTAGTTCGGAATGCGATAAACGAAGCTATACTTGAAAACAAACGAATTTGCTTCGAACGAATCCGGAACTTGGCCAAGGAAGGAATCTGTAATAAAGAGCAACGGAAAAAACCGAATTATCAGAATCTCCAACTTCAATGGAACCCTAATTGGTATTCGAGGAATCATTCGTGATTATAACGTCAAATTTGTGGCTGCTTTTACTAAAACTATTGGTATTGAATCTCACAATAGCTTGAATTATGGGCGTTATAGGATGGCATATAATGAACTTCGCTAAACACTTTGGTGATCTTTGCAAAAATTTTTACAAATAGATTATGAATTTTTTTTACTCATAATCTATTTTTTTGTGTTTGTAAAATGAACTTTTGCTTTTGCTTTTCTTAAAATAATCAACTTTAAGCTATAATTTGTTAAGCACTTACTACCCTGCTTTTTTGTTTAAGTTGATTTTCCAGTAAATTTGCAAACACCCCCAACTTTTAGAAATAAACACTTGAAATCAACAGAACTCACAATCCATATCTTCTACTTTTAAATAAACTTTTGCAAATAAACCTATTGCTTATTGAAACTGACTCTCTTGTTGACTAATTAATATTGACACAGTCTGGGTACAGAAAAATTAACGCAACCACTGATACTCCAGCTAAAATGGGATTTTTTTTTTTTTTTGCGTCGCAGAAGAACGCAATGTTTTTTTTTCTTTTTTGTTTTCTATGACAATACTCCGAGCATTTTGAACTATATTTTGGAATGTAATATATCCTAGACTTATACTCTAGCTAATGTTTGTTTTAAGTTAATTTTTTTTTACAAAAATTTAAAAAAGAAAATAATGAAAAAAAAATAAAAATTTCTAACCCTATTTCATACGTCGTGCTTCATACAATCGGTGTCCACCCCATCTCCAACCCTTCGCCGCCCCTTTTTATCCCTCAAACACCGTCCACCGTCCCCAGCCACCACCACCTCCTCCTGCCGCCGCCGACGTTCCTCAAACACCGGATCAGCTTCAAGAAATCATGAGGCGGCGTCTACACGCCCATATGGTGCCGGTGGTTCTTATCCCCGTCGATCAACCTGGTTTTATTCCGAATTACCCCAGGTTTGATCCATCGTCGCTATCACACCAGATTGAAGACGACTATTACTATGACAGTTTATTTTTCGATGAAAACGACGAAAACCTAATACGATTTTTGGACGAAGAAGAAGGTGGTGGTAATACCATGACTTTCGGTGGTAATAATATTGTTGAGCTGTCGGAGGAAACGATGGTCGCTCAGCTGTCGGAGGAAACAATTGTCAAGAATCTGAGAACTAGGGCTTCTTCCATGGAAATCAATGACGTAGATTATGAGCAAGAAGTGTGCGTTGTATGCCTCGACGATTTGTTTGGAGAAAACGAGAAAGTTATCGCAACCCTCGGATGTGGCCATGTGTATCATGTCGAGTGCATCAAGAATTGGCTTTTGAGGAAGAACGAGTGCCCCATGTGCAAATCCAAGGCCCTCGTTTTCGATTAATTCAAGAAATCAAACATGGTTGTTTATTATTTTTATTTTTATTTTCGAGTTTCTTGATTTATGGATTTCACCAATAAGTCCATCCCTTTAATATTTATTATAACTAAAGGAAACATTCATGTATATCCAATATTACCCTCAACCATTTATACCCAATTCTTAATTGTAACCCCAATTTATCAATTTTGTCCACAAAAATCCCATTTTGGCCACAAAAATTCAATTTTGATTTTTTTTTGGAGCATAATTTAATATGCTCCAATTTCATCCTTAACTTAATTTCATCTCAATTTAACCCTAAATTTTACAAATTATTCAATTTTGACCCAAAACTTTTTTTTTTCAAACAAAAAAAAATTTCAAAAATTTTTTTTTTGCCGCCGGATTCTGGCTTTGACCGGCGGTCAACGCCGGTCTCCGGCGTTGACTTTTCAAACTTTTTTTTTCTTTTTTCGGATTTTTTTGCCGGTTTCCGGCGGTCAACGCCGGTCTTTTTTTTTTTTTTTTTAAATTTTTTTTTGCCGCCGGATTCTGGCTTTGACCGGCGGTCAACGCCGGTCTCCGGCGTTGACTTTTCAAACTTTTTTTTTCTTTTTTCGGATTTTTTTGCCGGTTTCCGGCGGTCAACGCCGGTCTTTTTTTTTTTTTGCTTTTTTCTTTTCTTCCGGATTTTTTCGCCGGTTTCCGGCAGTCTCCGGCGTTGACTTTTTTTAGTGTTTTTTTACGTTTTTTTTTTTGGTTTGTTTTGTTTTTCCACGTCCGCCGCTAAACGTTGACCGTAATTGTGCTGTCACTGACAGTAAATTAACGTAATTATACTGTCAATGATAGTTAATTAACGTAATTGTACTGCCGTTGACATTACATTTATGTAATTGTGCTGCCGTTGACAGTAAATTAATGCAATATTATTATTATTATTTTTTTATTTTTTTTGATTTGTTGACAAGTCAACGTAATTATATTACTGTCGTTGACAGTAAAATAACTGTAAACACAATAATATTACTGTCAACAACATCAATATTATTATTTTTTTGGGGTTTTTGGTTTGTTTGACTTATTCACGGAGTAACGTAATAATATTACTGTCTATTATTGTAATATTACTGTAAACACAATAATATTACTGTGGTTGACGGTAATATTACTGTTGTTATAGTAATATTGATGTCAACCACATCAATATTATTATTTTGTTTGGATTTTTTGTTTGTTTGAGTTATTCACGGAGTAACGTAATAATATTACTGTCTATTATTGTAATATTATTGTGGTTGACGGTAATATTACTGTTGTTATAGTAATATTACTGTCACTCACAATAATATTAATTCTTTTAGTTTTTTTTATTATGTTTACATTTCTTGAACGGGTCAACATAGTAATATTACTTTATTACACAATAATAATGAGTTTTGTTGTGTTAATATTAATGTGCTAGAGATTAATATAGCAATATTACTGTGTTAAACTATAGTTTAGTTAATTTTACTGTGTTTAACAGTAATATAGTTAATATTACTGTCAATCACAGCAATATTGTTGTTTAAACCGAAAAAAAAAGTCACAGAAAAAAAAGAAAAGTAGAAAAAAAAAAGTAAAACAAAAAAAAAAGTCAACGCCGGAGACTGGCATTGACCGCCGGTCAACGCCGGAATCCGGCGAAAAAATCCGGAAGAAAGAGAAAAAAAAAAGTTGAAAAGTCAACGCCGGAATCCGGCGGGAAAAAAAAAATTTGAAAAAAAAAAGTTTTGAGTCAAAATTGAATAATTTGTTAATTTTGGGGTCAAACTGAAGTTAAATTAAGTTAAGGATGAAATTGGAGCATATTAAAGTATGAGGGGTTATTTTAGTCCTTTACGAAAATCTGGACCATGTGTGGACTTATTGGTAAAGGAGATTTTTGTTGAGATCTATTTATGAATAAGTACCCATTGATGGGCTTATTTGTAATATGCCCTATTTTATAAAACTAGAGTTAATTTTGAAGGCGAAAAAATTTAATGGAGTTGTTATTGTGGATATGAAAGTATTAATTTCAAAACCCTGCATTCAAATGCATTCTTTCAACTTGTAGCATTAAAATCTAAGGATCGGACCAAAATTTATGAACTTAATTGTAGGTATATAAGTAGTTAATTCTTAGGTAATCTTCATTTTTACACTAATTATATTCTTAAAACCTCAAACTTTATTATGTGATATTCAAGGGCAGACTTGTGCGTCGTCGGAGGTTTGTGGCGGAACCAAGTTCCGGTGTCATAATGCTTGTTTATGACGTTATATAACGATCCCCGCTTATATTTGAAGAGCATCGTGATTGTTTTTGGAGAAGATTTGATGTAGATCACTTTATACTATTTTTTTTTTTTTGTGGAGTTATACTCATTTCTTGACCACGTCGACCCTCAAGTCTTATAATATCCGTAATTCAAAATTATTTCAAGGAAAAATTGAAAACTTAATTCAAATATAGGTATTGAGATGGATTATTTAGATAATGTATTTTTTATAAGATAAAAAGGTAACATTATTTTTTTGTTAGAAGTAAGCCATGTTTCAAAAGCCCCTCCCTCTGTTTAAAAGCTCGAGTTTTTGGCATTCGGTGGCACTAAAAGCTCATATGTTAATACAATTAGCACATACCCCCTATGGTGAGAAGTCAAAGCCATGAAGTCCCTGTGAGTTGATCGTGTGCTACATTAGTCGATTATGCGACTAAGAGTGTATGTTGTGACCTAAGAAGACCCAAATGCTCTTTAAATTATTATTTTTCAAAAATTACAAATTTACCTCACATATTTATTGTGTAGATGTTTCTTATTGGGAAATATTAGAAAATTAATCAATTATGTTATTATTTTATATACCAAAAGAAAAACAAAATTATTGTTTAATACTATTAAGTATCCTATATTTAAAAAAATAAAATTAATTGGTTTAACTTAAGGGTAAATGGCAAATAAGCCCATGACAATGGTACTTAATTAAAAAAGAGATATTCAACTTTTTTGTTTTGCATATATATCCACCTCATTCAAGCTTATTTGCTAATGAGGAAAACTCTTTCATATATACCAAAATTACCCCCAACTCATTGAAACTCTAATTCAACTCCAATCTCGTGATTTACACATCAATTTAGCCCAATTTTGACCTCAATTTTGACAACCACGGTCTCTGACAGCCGGTTTCCGGTGTTAACTTTTTTTTTTTTTTTACTATTTTTCCTGAATTTTTTTCCATGCAGGTCAACCGCCGGTCTCTGGCGTTAACTTTTTAAAAAAGAATATTTCTCGTTAATATTACTGTATTGGTCTGTAATATTACTGTCTGAGACAGTAATATTGCAGTCAAAGACAATAATATTATTGTCAAAAGACACTAATATTATTATCTCATACAATAATGTTGTAGTTAAGACAGTAGGGAGACAAAAAATACAGAAAAAAAAAAAAAAAAAAAAAAAAGAAGTCAACGACCGGCTGGAAAAAATATTTTAGAAAAAAAAAAGTTTCAAAAAAAAATTCATAGCCGGAATCTTGTCGGAAAAATCCACATAATTACATAATATAAATTTGACCGGGTTTAGATTATTGGAATCTAGAACTAACGGTTTTTAAGACGTATATTATGTTGTTCAAAAGTTAGATTTCTTTAATTACCTTTATAATCGTAAAAGCATGCAAGACCACGTGGCGACTTTGTTTTGCCTAGTTCCGGAAGCGCCAAATGAAGCTATATTTGAAAATAAACGAATTTGCTCGGAATGTATCTGGAATTTAGCCAAGGAAGGAATTTGTAATACAGAGAAACCGAAAAAAACAAATAATCAAACTCTACAACTTCAATGGAACCCTAATTAGTATACATTCAACAAATGCCGGTGTTTCCCGATCAATCTAGGGCAAGCTGGCATTGGAGGAATCATTACATTCATGATTAAAACGTCAGATTTGTGCCTCTTTTACTAAAATTATTGGAATTGCATCTTACAATAGCCTGACTTACGGGCTTTACACGATATAACTGAATCAACCAATTAGCGAAGACAATTTGAAATAAAACGATTGCTTATTGAAACTAACTCTCTTGTTGACTAATTAATTTCGACACAGTAACGGTCTAGTCGGGTACAGGAAAATCAACGCAACCGCTGATACTCCGGCTAAAATGGGATCTTTTTTGCGTCCGCAGAAAAATGCCATGTTTTTTTTATAACACTCCGAGCTTTTTTGAACAATATTGTGGAATGTAATATATGTATTTAAACTTATCTCCGTAAATGTCGTAATCCATGAACGAAAACTGTTGTTTCGAAGTAGTAATCTAATATTTGTTTTAAGTTAAATTTTTATTTTTAAAATTATAAAAATAAAAAAAAATAAAAAAATAAAAAGAGAGAGAAGATTTAATGGACAGGGAATAGAATTGTTTTTATGGAAACAAAACCTAACTCATAATTACAAATTAAAGTTTCGGATAAAATTTGCATATATATAGTATTTGACATATGTACAAGAATCTACAAGTGGGGATCTCATTTTTGAAATTTGGACAGCTATTTGGACAGCTAATTCTAACACTTACCTTGTACAAACAATTAGGGTTTTTATTCATTTTTAATTTTGAAATAGGGTTTTCTAAAATAATTAGGACAGATAAAATGACCGTTAGAGAGTGCTCTTACTACAACTTTATATAAACCTCAACAAATCCTTCGATATTCTCCATAAAAAATTAAACCACACAGAAACAAAAAAAAAATGTCTGATGGTTCATACAACCGGTGTCCACCCCATCTCCAACCCTTCTCCGCCGCCCCTTTAGATCCCTCAAACACCGTCCACCAACCACAGCCACCACCACAACCACCACCACCTCCTTTTGCAGCCGAAGACGTTCCTCAAACACCGGATGAGCGTCAAGAATTCATGAGGCGGCGTCTACACGCCCATATGGTGCCGATGGTTCTTATCCCCACCTTTCGTCCTGAT